TGGATTATAATGCATGTGATTAAAATTGGAAAGAATTCTTTTAATATATTAAGAATGTTAAATAATTTAATATACTGGTTTTAAATAATAATTTCTTTATTCTGTTAAATAAATAATTTATTATACTGGTAAGTATAATTAAGTAATGGACAAAATATTTTTAAGATTGACATTCAGAGGTAAAAATTATAATTATACAGTATGTGTTAAAATTATATCCTTGTGGAAAGAATGAATGATCTGTGTGTTTTGCTCATAATGATAATAAAAATGTTACATATTATAGCACAGATAACTTTGTCTGTAGATTCTGTGTATATATATTTTCTAAGGAAGGTTTATTGAAATATTACATGAAATATGACAGAATGGTCAGTGTCTCAGAGCATAAAAATATTTGTGCTTCTAAAACATAAATATAGTATTTATTCTTAGATATACTCAGCTGACTACTGTTCTATTTATAAAGCTCTGGTGGCCTAGTGTGTAAGAAGGAGTTGTGCTGCCAACCCAAAGGTATGTGGTTCAAATCTACCAGTGCTCTGTAGGACAAAAATAAGCAATCTCTTCTCTATTTATAGCCTCTGAAAACCTGACAGAGGGTCACCTATGAGTCTATTCCAACTCACTAGCATATAACAATAACAACTATTTTATTTAATTCCTTTTTCAGATTATGAAAGATTTAGCATTCTTTCCCTCCAAACTTTTTTGGTATTCATTTAAACAAAAGGTGAAATATGAGGAATGGTACTCAATGATTCACTATGAAAAAATCTACATGTTCAAAAGTCATTTATGGATTCTGAAGCTTCATCTGACATACTTTGGACATGTTGCAAGAAGGGACCAGTCCTTGAAGAGGGACATCATGCTTGGGAGGGTGGAGGGACAGCGCAGGAGAGGAAGACCCTTGATGAGATGGCTTGATTCAGTGACTGGAGTAATGGAGTATGTCAGAGACAGTGTCACAGGATAGAGCAGGGTTTAGGGCTGTTATACGTAGGGTCACTATGAGTTGCAGGCACATAGCAACAACAAAAATAACAAGGCAACTAAACATAATTGCATTTATAGCTTTGAACTCATAGTTTTGAAATATGAGTATTAATGTAATACTACTTGGTATAAATAATAGGTGATGTTGGACACAGTTGTTGTGTGTACTGTTGAGTCAGAACTTACCTATAGCTAACCCTCTGGTGGGTTTTCAGAGGCAGTTAGTTAATCACATGGGAGAATATTGTCCATCCTTCTCCTGCAGAGTAGCTGCTGAATTTTAACCTGTGCCTTAGGAATTGCAGCACAGCTTCTTGACACTAGGCCACCAGATCATAAATTATTTTAAAAGCATGACTCATAGGAATTTTTTCCCCTAATAAATTTAAGTAGATGCCCTATGTTATCCTTCAGACTTCATTTTCTTCAATAATACTTTGTGTCATGGTTTCATCTGTACTATGTTGTTGTTAAGTGCTGTCAAGTAGCAGGTGACTCATAGCGATCCTATGAAGGAGAGTCCTCGATGCTTGGGTGCCTTTCATCCTTTCTCCAGGTTCATAGGGTTTCCGGAGGCAAACTGTTATGGAAGTGGATGCCACTCCTCCTTCCAACATCTCTACTATAGGACCTAGAAAAATTTATTTTTACTCCTGTGCACTTTTCTACTTCACTAGATAATACTAACAAATAAGTCCCAGTTGCATTTATATATTTATTTCTGTGTGTTTGTGTACATTTAAAATAAGTGACTGTTGCATAGAGTGAAAATTCTTTTATCATAAACAAACATAATACTGTTATATATAGTGCCTTGCCTCTGGAAACTATGAACTTTGAGAAATGATGATAGTTATAGAAAGTCTTCAGGTCTTTTATTCATAGGATTGTTATGAGTCATGCTCAACTCAATGACGATCAACAACATAATGCCTCTCTTAAAAATATAATAACTTTATGTGTTTGATGATACAGCTACACAGAGAGGAGAATTTCATTATAGATTATTCTTTTGAGGTAATTCACTATAAATTGGCCTATAATTTATTGTACAGAATTTTGTCATTTTCCTTATCCTGAGTGAAGTACCTCAGTCACAGAAGGACAAATACTGCACAATGCCACTGTTGTAAAGTGGGACTGACACTGGCATTGGGGTTAGGGAGGAAACTAAGAAAAGAGGGGTTAAATAATGTACATTGCATTGAAATCGGTATGGGAGAGAACTGCTTAAAAGGGATATGTGATTAGGTATTATTGTCATGAGTAGAGCCCAGAATGAAAGCTACATAGTGGAGTGTATTGGGGTGTGTGTGGGGGGGATTATATAACAATGAAAGAATCTTTTTTTTTTTTTACTTTTCAAAGAGAAAAGTGAACTGGAGGGAGGGGTGGGCTGTGAGGAAAGTGTGCAACAATGAATGAATGGAAATCCAGTCTCTTCAAGTAAACTTTCATTAAAATTAATGAAAAAAAAGGAAAAAAATGTTATTTTAAGAAAACAACCTATCTTGAGTCTTAACCACTGCACTTTAACATATTGTGGTTGTTAGTGTTGTTTACTGTCAAGTCTGAACCAACACATAGCTGACCCTCCAATGGGTTTTTAGAGGCAGTTAATCACAGGGAAGGAGATTGCCCATCGTTTTCCCGTGAAACAGCTGGTGGGTTTGAGCCACATGCCTTTGGGATTGCATCACAATTTCTTTCCACTAGACTACCAGAACTCCCTCTTTAATCTATTAGTTGTACAAATCTAACTGTTTGGGGGTTTTTTGGCATCCACTTCCTAAATAGCATGCCTCTGGAAACTGAACTATGATAAATGGTGATGGTTGTGGAAGGCTTTCAGGCCTTTTGTTCATGGTGTGTGACTCGATGGCAATCAATAAAAACAGCAATCTCATTCTTTCTCACTTTGAGAGACTCGTGGCTTAATGGCAAAGAATTTTGCTGCCAATCTCAAAGTGTATGATTCACCAGCTGCTCCATGAGAAAAAGATGGGTAATCTTCTCTTGTGATTTATGGTCTCTGATATTCTCTGGATGGTCGGCTGTAGATGATGACTCACAGTACACAACATTTTACTTTATATACATATACTACTAAGGATAATTATTAGTAAGTACTTTTTAAATTGCTGGCCAACTGGACATTTGAGCATCCTCATTATAATAGTATCATATATGCCTATTGAAATTTGTCTCAGCACTATTGGCAATGATTCATTTTTACTTTGAAATTTACCAAATATTCTTCTGTTTTAGGCCATGCTTATCTCAAAATTGCATTTGTGTTCTTTTAACAAAGATCATGGGGAATCATATAAGAAGTAGAGAAGTGCATGGAAAAGAAAGGTCATTAAACATTCTTTTTATAAGATTTTACTTACTTTTGTACATACTTTTGATTATGTTTGCCTTTTCCCCTAGAATTCATTATACTATCTTTTTAAAAGAAGTTTATGTCTTTATTTTCATGCTCTCCTTGTTTTGTGAACCTCCTTATCCCTTAACATCTGATTGTTTCCTATCTGCATCAAAATTTCCAGACTTCTTACCGATTTTGTGCTGGGGTATTATATCGTTTCCCAGATTAATATAGGGTATGTACGGTATTGTTGTTGCGTAGCATCAAGTTGTAACAAACCCATAGCTGATGCTCTAGGTGGGCTTTAGAGACAGTTAATTGCACAGGAGGGATTGCCCATCCTTCTCCCGCTATATGGTATTAATGGGGTATATGTCGTAACGTGAGTCATAAAATCGTATTAATGGGGGTGAATGACAGAAATAGATGGATGGAACTACTAATCAGAACAGCAAATAAAACAATTTATCCTGTTTCATTTACACTTTTATAAAACCAGGAGAAGTCTTAGTGGCAGTGATTCAACACCAAAAGGCTAGTGATGCAAATATGCTACACAATCTTTGGAAGGAACGACCTGGAAATCTGCCCCCTTAAAAATCACAGCCAAGAAAAATCTATGATGCAGCTCTACCCTGTCAGATGGGATCACTATGTACTGGAATCGACCTGGTGACAGCCAACAATAACAACAAAATTTAATCTAATTAGGCATGAAAGCAAGTTAGACCAGAATCATCCAGTAGAGTCTGATTAGTTGAGTAAAAGAGTAGATATAAAAGTCAAAGCTTTCCTCAGCCACCAGAGTTTGTGTATCATGTATGCGTATGCTAAAGTGCATATATTTGATATATCTGTGAAAGTAGATACAAATTTGGTATGATTATTTGTTTTAATTGATCCTCAATGCTTGCTTGCTATCATGAAATAAAGTGCTTTTACCATGATTAATAAAATATACTTTGTGAAGTCAATCCCAACTCACTATGATCTTCCAATACATCTCCAAGGCTATTAATTCTTATAGGAAGAGGCTTCTCATCTTTCTCCTATGTAGCAGTGGTTGAATTCAAACTACTGGTGTTTCAGGTAATAGTGCAATACTTGATACACCATCCAACAGAGCTCCTTTGTTTTATAAAATTCCCTAATTTATTCACTAAAAAACTATCAATTATGTGATTTACTCTCTAATAACATTATAAGTTCATTTTAGTTCTCTATCTCTGTGTTCTAGAAATGTAAGTAATTTTTCTTACTGGCATCAACATCTGTAAAATGATTATTATTTTGGCTGAACTCTGGTGGCCTAGTAGGTATGGAGTTATGCTGTCACCCCAAAGGTAAGGGGTTCAAATACATCAGCTGCTCCATGGGAGAAAGACAAGAAATCTTTTCCCCTGTAATTTACCCATTGAAGAGTCAAATATAGGTCAGTTTTGACTAGCTAGCAATACATTTTTTTATATTATTTTATTTGAAACAATTGTTTTGTATTTTATATTATCTGAAACTTAAACACTGCTTATGATGGTTGTTCTTTTCTAGAACTTGAGCATAACTTGAATTGGTTTTGCTTTTGTTATGTATTTTTTTCCTCTTTAGACCTGGTAAGAGTCGGAAGACTCTAATGGCAAACCATACAAGAGTGACAGTGTTTGTGCTGGCAGGCTTGACTGATGATCCACTATGGAAAGTTGTATTATTTATTTTCTTGCTTCTAACTTACTTGTTAAGCATCACTGGTAATCTGACCATTATCACACTCACCCTGCTGGATACCCAACTCAAGACTCCTATGTACTTTTTCCTTCGAAATTTTTCCTTTCTAGAAATTTCCTATACTACTACATGTATTCCCAAGCTGCTAGTTATCATGGCAACTGGAGACAAAACGATTTCCTATGATTGTTGTGTCACTCAAGTATTTTTTGCCTTCCTTCTTGGAGCATCTGAATTTTACTTGCTAGCAGCTATGTCATATGACCGATATGTGGCCATCTGTAAACCTCTACATTATACAACCATCATGAACAGCAAAATCTGCATACAGCTTGTCCTCAGCTGTTGGGTTGCTGGGTTCTTTACCATCTTTGTTCCACTTCTCTTAGGTCTAAACCTTGATTTCTGTGCCTCTAATATTGTTGATCATTTCTACTGTGATACTACGCCCCTCCTGCAGATTGCCTGCTCAGACACACATGTCCTTGAGATGTTGGGTTTCATCTCAGCCTCACTGACACTCTTGGTCACAATAATAATGGTGATTATTTCATACACTTACATTGTTCTGACAATTCTCAAAATACCTTCAACTAGTCAGAGAAAAAAGGCGTTTTCTACATGTTCTTCTCACATAATTGTAATCTCTCTTTCTTATGGCAGTTGCATCTTCATGTATGTTAAACCGTCAGTCAAACAAAGAATATCATTTTATAAAGGAATTGCATTACTCAATACCTCAATTGCACCACTTTTGAATCCTTTCATCTACAGTTTAAGAAACCAACAAGTAAAAAAAGCCTTTATTAACATGGTACATAGAATTGTTTCCTTTTCAAAGAAATGAATATATGAAAAAAGTAACATAAGTAATAGAATATCAGTTTTATTCAAACTCGGCCTCTCTGTAATTGAATTGATACTCTGTCACAATGTTGTCTATTGGTCTAATTTTGAAAGTTTTAATTTTCCTTTTGCTGAGGTGTAATCTATATTAAAGGTTATAGTCACGGATCTTCTTTAGTACATGTTCTGGTCTTCATTATCAAGTTTCTGAGATTATATATATATATATATATATATATATATATATATGTATAATTTTCCCATAAAAATAAAAAAAACTCAACCCAGCCCTTTTCTAAATACTTCAAACTAATTTCTGCTAACTTTTAGAGAAATTTATTGTTTCTAAGTGCTGCATTTATAATAAATGGAATATTTACATGTTTTGATATTATTTAAAACTCCATTGATATTTTTGTATTTGAAAGTTTAGTTCACAACTCATATTTAAATATTACTTATTTCTCATTAATATTATTTACAGAATTCACAAATGAGTTTCTAACTCTAAAAATTTTTATACGTAATAAATAATAATTATTCCTTTTTGTAATCTGAACTTTGATGAATTAACCATTACCAACATGACTGTGAGGGAAACCAAATACTAAATTTAATAATAATGGATCAAATGCTATACCAGGATATGAGGGAGGCTTAATACAAGCTGAAGGTCACCCTGTGGCACTAAGGCATTCCCTAAGAGTCAACATTGTTCTTAGTTTGTATTAACTGAATCCCTCCCTCCTAAGATAAGAATAAAGAGGAACTTGGCCTTATCTGCAGAAGACTTCCCCATGATCCTTTGTTTTTGTTTTGTACTTCCTTGATTTTACTTTGTTTACCTTCCTTATGATTCTCAATAAATACCCAGAGAGGCATGGCTTGAGGCCTTAAGTCAGGAGAACTACTGGCCCCTTGTATTGCATGCTCTTTGTTCTATATCTTTCCTGGTAGTCTGTCTCATTATTAATAAATATAAAAATACTTTACCCTTGGTCTGCAACATGAGTGTTTACTTATTTTCATTAAAAATGCATGTAAGATGCAATTTTTCAAAATTGAATATTCTCATCCACAAAATAGAAAATCTAGTTTCTTGCTTTACTTTAGAATCTACTTTTATTTTTTAATTGACATTTAATAATTTATATTTCAAGCAGGAGTAACATCCACTTTCTAAACAACATGTCTCCGAAAACTATGAATTTTGATTAATGTCAATAGTTATAGAAAGGCTTCAGACCTTTTGTTCACAGGGTCTCTATGAGTCGAGCTCAACTTAAAAGCAATCAACAACAACATATTTAAAGAAGACAAAGATTCTCATCACTGAGCCAATTAATTGGAAGCACCATGATGGATGGAGAAGTAATTGAGGTTGTTAACAGCTTGCTCAGCTCCACAATCAACACATTTGGCACCAGCAGTCAGAAAATAAAAATGTGAATTGAATTATATAAATCTGTTGTCAGAGACCTTTCCAGATTACAGAGAAGCAACGATGTCAATCTAGAGGCGAAGGTGTGCATGATCCAGACTTTGGTCTTTTCAACTACTCACTCTGCCTCAGAGAGCTGGATAATGACTAAGGCAGATAGAAGAAAAATTGATGCCTTTGAGTTGCGGTAATGGAGGACAGTCTTGAACATGGACCACCAAGAAAACAAATAAGTCTGTCTAGGAGAGGGTGAAACCAAGTTTCTTCTTAGAATCTAGGATTTTAAAGTTCCATCTCACATACTTTAGAAATGTGGCCAGGAGGGACCAATTCTTGAAGAAGAACATCATGTTTGGAAGGGTAGAGGGACAGCGCAGAAGAGGAAGACCCAGGAAGAGATGGATTGATATAGTAACTAGGGTATTGGGAATAGGTGTATTGATGTCAAGGGAGACTGGTTCAGGATAGGGCAGGCTTTAGAGCTATTGTACATAAGGTCGCTATGAGTTTCAGGTGACTTGATGGCACTTAACAGCAATAAAAACATTTTACTTTTTAATGATAATTACTGTACTAGAATATACATCCAATTTTTAAAATATTTTATCTGTCGATTGTTTACACATTTTGTAGGTTAAGAAGTTTAATATAAAATAATTTTCTTAATGTTATTCACAATTTGTTACAACACAAAGTTGAATGCCTTTGCAATGTAAATAAAATACAGCAAAGTATCCTTTTGGTATTCCCTGCTTTTAGCAAACATGTTTAAATCAGAAAAATATCTCTCATTACATGTTCTTTTCTGAATATACCTTGAATTTCTGGCATTTCCCTAAGCACTCCTTTGTCAGATCTTAAATTATATTCTGCAAAATATCATTTGCATTTGATACAAATAATATTATTTAATAGTTTCTACATTTTATTGGATTTTTTTTAATGGGTAAAAATAAGGTTATCGTCTATTCTGATAACTCTCCTTTCAATTATTTGGTGTAGACCAGTGAGTACCTTCAACATTGCATCCACTTGTTGAAATAAATCATCTGTCATATCCTTAATTCCTGATATCAGTAAAAAGATGTGCTGTACTGGGAAATCTGCTGTCTAGGATTTCTCTTTCTAAAAAAAAGATATCCGTTTAAAGATTAAGGTCTACCTGGTATATACCATATTATTTCTAAATGCTTTCTATTAATCTGAAAGTATCAATGAATAAAGAATGCAGAAGAAGAAACAAGGCCTTTGAATTGTGATATTGGAGACAAGTACTGAACATCCATTGACTGCCAAAATTAACAAGCAATCTGTCAGCGTACTCTTTAGCGGTAAAGATAGTGAGACACCAACTATCTGATATACTTTGGATATGTTGTTAAGAGGGGGTCAGTCCTTGGAAAAAGACATCATGATAGGAAAGGTGAGAGGTCAGAGAAATAGCAAGAGTCTCCACAAAATGAATTTACACAGTGACTGTAACTGAACTTCAGCATGGCAGAAGTCATGAGAATGGTAAAAGACAGGACAAGGTTTAGATCTATTATTTATAGGGTTCTACTTGATGGTACCTTACAATAGCAAGAACAACAACTCTGAAGCCTTGCTTTCTGCTAGTGCCTTTGCTACAGCTTGGATTTCTTTTGTCAGTACCATCAGTTCTTCATTATACACTGTCATGAAATTGTTGAGCTCATCTATCAATTTGTCGTACTGTGGTGGTTCGTGTGTTGCTTTGAAGTTGGAAGTTATGCCATCAGTATATCATTTGACATAGAGAGCCTCCATCATGGGACATTTTCAGAAAAGCTTGTCAACTAAGACAAATTATGAAAAAGGGCCTTAAAATCTACTTGTGAAAAATGAAATTATTAGTGAAAATCTTATGAATAGCAGCAGAACATAGTGTAAAACAGATAGAGAAAATAAACCTTTTGTGCTGGAGGATAATGAATATAACTGGGGAGGAGTTGTCTCATAAAACTAGCATTAATTTTAATTATATGCATGGTGTAAAAGTTTTTACTTTTGAAGTGGCATGATTAAAAATTAGGAGGAATAGATGCATTTGTCCTTTATAACCAGAACATGTTATATATAAAACATAAATCTGAAAAGATAAATTGGTAGTTAAAAAAATTAAATGGAACAAAAATATTAATCATTTGTTACTGTGCGCTGAAATAGATGAGTGTTGACTTTTGTGAATAATACACATATCTGGTATGCTAAGAAAAAAATTAGAGTAATGACAAGACGTTTATTATCCACAGAACATTTTAAGATCTTTCTTGATGACATAGCCCTCAGTGATAGCATAAAACCCATATGCCCAAAAGAAAGAACAGTTCATGCTTCAGATATACCTAATTTTGTAAATTCTTCAAGCCAACAATAAAATTCAAACAATAGAAAGTAAAAATTGTAAAGTCTGTATGGGATCAAACATACAATTAAGACATAATTTGTAATGACTGAAAAAGAAAAATAGAAATAAAGGAGAAGGATTAGTTGCTGGGGAATATGGTTTTATGATAGAAACAATATTTACAATTTCATGATAGGATTTGCAAGAGCAATGATGTATTCATTGCAAATACATTTTATAGATAATATGAATGGCAAATGTACAAGTGTACTTCTGGTGGCATAGTCTACAGCATGTTGTCATGCTAAAAAAAATCTGCATATTTCCAGGAGTTTGAGTCCATCAACTTTTTTGAGGGCCAAAGACAGGAAGATAATATTTTTTAGCTTCAGAAACAGAATGGAATATTGCTAAGAATTGGAGAATGAGTCCTTAAGGGCAGGTATCGTGTATGTGGACCTCAGTGGTATTAAATTTACCTCAGCTGTGGAAAAAGGACATGGGGAAGATTATAATATTAGTAAAAATAAGTCCAGGTACTGAAGGTGAGACAATTGCTTCTATGGAAATTGAAATTGACATGAAAGGAAATTTAAATAATCCCATAAAACCCCAAGTAGACCTTGATTTATGATACATTGGAATTTAGAAACCATCTCAATCATGGATTGGCAAAAGGTCATATGAGTTTTGGAATTATCTATAGGGCCTAATAAATGGAGAGGTTGCCTATAGGTCTAGTGGTAAGAATCTTTGTTTTCTTGGCATTGAGATGCAGTCCACACTAAAAGCTGAATTCCTTGACCTTCTGCAACAAGTGCTTCAATTTCTCCTCACTTTCAGCAAGCAAGGTTGTATCAGGTGCATAACACAGTTATTGAGGAGTTTCCCTCCAATCCTGATGCCACACTCTGACAGGCAACATCATGATGGATGGAATGGATATTGAAACTATCAACAGCTTAATCTTGCTTGGATCCATAATTAACACCCTTGATACCAGCAGTAAGGAAATAAAGAGATACATTGTACTGGCAAAATCTACAGTTAAGGACCTTTCCAAATTATTGAGGAGAAGTGATGTCAGTTTGAGAAATAAAGTGTATCTGATTCAGGCCATGGTCTTTCCAATCAATTGTATCCATCTGAGAGCTGGACAATGAATAAGGATGACAGAAGAAGACTTGATGCC